CAGCAGATGATGACACTGGTCTGGGTTTACCCTCACCCCCTACTGTCTTCTTCACCTACTGTTGACTTCCTTACTTGCTGACAACCCTTAGGGATGAACTTTCATCAGATGACACCATTGCTCCTTTAAGACCTTTCTGTTCCTTGAGACAGAACTCTCGGACCATGTGATATATAAGAATGAGGCAGCCCGAGGACACAATGCCCCAGCCTCCTCCCTGAGGCTCCTTCAGAATCAGTAGGAGTGCTGCAATTTGTTGGATACTGAGACATATACGAGGGCACATGTGGTGGACAGCTTGGTCCCTATTCTCTTACCTCCCGGCTCAAGTAACATAGCCACCCACAAAAAAAGCAGGTACGAATCACTATGAGAACAGAGTCTGAAGAGGGAATTGAACTAATGAATGTGTGTTTAAAGAAACATGGCTTATCCAGCTTAGTAAGGAGTCCATGCTATAAATTAAAAGACTCCTTTATCCTGGGGATGGATATGAGTGGTACAGCACTTGCCTGACTTGTTCATGACCCTCGGTTCAATCCCCAGCATCACACACATAAATAAATTAATTAATTAATCAGTCGGTAAGGCAGACAGTCATAACAGTGTGGGCCTGAAATCCCAGGTAGTCAGAAGGTTGTAAGTTCAAGGTTAGCTTGGGCTACAGAGTAAGTTCAAGTCCAGGCTGGGCAACTTAGTAAGACCTTATGACCTGGCCAAGTAGGGGAAAAAAGCCAGGCATGGCAGTACACTCCTTTAGTGCCAGCACTCGGGAGGCAGAGGCAAGAGGATCTCTGAATTTGAGGCCAGGTTGGTCTGCAGAGCAAGTTCCAGGACAGCCAGGGTTACACAAAGAACCCTGTCTTGAAAACCAAAAGTTGGGGAAGGGCTTATACTTTTGTGTTAGAGTGCTTGTATGATGTGCAAAAGGCCCTGGGTTCAGTCACCAAGGCTAAAAAACCACCACATTGTCTGAGGTGTAGTGTGCACCCTTGCTTCACCTGGCTCTTCTCTGGGTCCCTATCAGATCAGGCTTTTGGGGAGACCCCAAAGGGGCTAGGCGCCCCATATAGCTTCTTATAAGTTCTGAGAAACCCATGTAAGGTATTGTTTGTGAGCACCCTACTGCAGATCCATCCCTGGACTAAAAGAAAATAGGGGTTGTCACATGAAAAGTATGACATTAGGGCGGCCCTACTGTTGCTGCTGACCCGAGCTGAATGCAAAGTGGCTCTGAGCATGAGAGAAGCTGCACCTCAAATCTTAGTCTTTGACCAGCTTCTCTTGTCACTGATGTGAGAAACCTCTTGAGCCTGGAATGGTCTTTGTCCTCAGTCCTACCAGCCTTCACATTTGAACTGTCTTCCTGCCTTCCAGGACCAGCCCATAGGGAGACAAGTCCCAACATGCCTAGGATCACCCTACTAACAGGAGTGTCTACAAAAACAAATACCCATAACGCTCACACATGCGCACACACACACACACACACACAGCCCTGTGTGGGCATTACGTGCCCTCGTCAGCTCCTGAATTCCATACCACAGCTTGTAGAAAATGACAGGCATCAGTGTCACCGAGTTTATCTCTGAGCAGTGTCCTCAGCAACCTCTTACAACACATGCTCTCAGGCTGTCACCCTGTCAGAGATTTCTAGTGTTGATAAGTGGATCGTGCGACAGATTTGAGCAGGACACCTGTCCTTCCATTCTATTGTGTAAGCTGTGCTGGCTTCTTGCAGGAAGCTGGTGGCCATCCACCTAAATTAATTTGCTGGGACCCAAGAATGCCACATGACTCTCTGGCAGAAAATAAGAGGATTCTGTGGAAAATAAATGAAAGGATAATACACAAAAAGAACATATGAAAGTGGATGGGGGAGGCTTGTTGGGATGAAAGATTTCAAAAGAAGAGGAAGCAGGTGAGAGAGGGATATGGGGTGAAAATAACTAAAATTCTTTATATAAATGCATGAAAGTGTCAATAAGAAAAACCTGATCAATCAGTCAATAATCAACCAATGGCTGGCTGGGTGTAGTGGCACAGGCCTTAAATCCCAGTGTTCTAGAGGCAGGCAGATCTCTGTAAGTAGAAGGCCAGCTTGATCTACACGGAGAATTGCAAGCCAGCTAGCATTACATAGTGAGAGATGCTGTCTCAGTACACACACACACACACACACACACACACACACACACACACACACATACACACACACACACACACACTCAAGAACTTACAGTTATCAGGGAAGAATGTTAACAAGAAGTGTGCCAGGAGATGATATCAAAGGTAAAATCCCCAAAGCTGGCAATACCTCCTTCTATAAAGTTAAATGTGTGCTTTCATGGGCTGAGTGGCTGGCATTATAGACAGGACTAGAGAAAACCCTAGACGGGGGTGGGGGGGTGGGGGAGTGGGAGGGGCGGTGGTGCTTCAAGGTCACTTTCTTTGTAAAGGTCAAAGCAGAGGGATTTCCTTGTTACCTTGACTCAGGATGACTGGAACTTCCTATTTTAGGAAAATGGTGTCATTCTCAACATTCAGTTTGGCAAGAGAAACTCCAGTCATTGATCTTGTCTGCTGGAGCCTCCTGCAAAGCAGTGGCCTCTGATGCATATTTTCTAACTAGAGGAAATGTTTGCAAACTTCTGAAAGACAAGCGAGGATACTTTGAACAACTGAAAGAGCATATATTCTGGTATGCAATGATTCCATGTAAATGAGGTTCAAGTTCTTCACAGGTAAACACATACATTTAGCATGATTTTAAATACAATATCAAGAATTCATTTTAGATCAATTAATTCTAATTTTTAATCAGTAGGAGAAACTCTACTGAATCAAAGCAGAGGAGTAGTAGTGGCACTGGCATGTACTGTAGAGTCGTGGCACTGAAACAGAGAGCCTGATCCAAGGTACAGGCCTCATACATAGGGATTGTATAAATGCTAAAAGGGGACACCAAGTGACTCAGGACACTGGGGTATGATGTACTGTTTAATAAATGGTCCTGGAACTGTCACTTTAAAAGCATCTGATCCAATCCCAGGTACTTCAGAGGCTGAGCCAGGTAGATTACAAGTTCAAGGCCCACCTGTTCTGTAGTGTGAGTTAAAAGCCAGCTTGACAGTTTGGGCAACTTAGTGAGACCCTGTTAGAAAATTAAAAGCCAGCAGGGTTGTAGCTTAGTGGTAGAACACTTTCCTTGTTTTTTTAAATGAGGTCCTAATTTCAATCCCCAGCAGCACAGAGTAAAAATTAAACATGAATGTACCTTAGGGTCCAGTAATTCACTCCTCAATATTTGCCTAAGACAAATGAAAACATGTAAACATGTGCCCAAAAGAATCTATGCACAAAATATCCATAGCAAATTTCATCTCTAATAGCCTCAAACTGGAAATGGCCTAAGTGATAATCAGTAGAAAAATCAATAAACTTATTATGCTCTACTTACATAATGGAATCCTACTCAGAAATGTTTATAGAGCTAAATATTGATAGTGCAACAGTATTCCAGCCCAGCCATGTTGTATCTATCTCAAAAGCATTATTCTGAGTTGAAGTATACACACACACACACACACACACACACACACACACACACACACTGCTGTATGATTCAGTTTGTGTGGTATTTTAGAGTACTTAAAACTACCTTTATGACAGCTCACACGATGTCCTCTAGGGTTGGGAGTAACAAGATGACTGCAAAGAGCAGCGAGACTCCTTTTGCAGGGGATGTAAATGTCCTCTTCCTTTGATAAGCAGATAGATTATAGGAGTGCATGCCTTTGCCAAAACAATGGTGTATTTTAAGATTTTAGTATCTCATGTAAATTATATCTAAAAATAAGGTAGTATAACTTGGTTGCGCATGCATGAGACCCTAGTGTCAGTCACCAGTACTACAAATAATTGTATATTATAATTATACATGTGTATATGTATATACACACATATTACTATACCTTAAAATCCAATAATTTACTCCTACATATTTATACAAGACAAATGAAAATGTATCCACAGGAAGCTTTAAATGATATAACAGCTGCTTAAGATAACTTATTGATTTTTTTCTATATAATAGAGCAATATAGTACTCGTATTTTGTGAGTATATGAGACATAACTCTAAAATGAGTACCTCTGAATCCAACATCTAATTTCACTAGAACCTTTCAATATGTTCCAGCTTCTCCCACCTCTCTCAAAGTGTCTGTTATTCTGAACTTGTTTCCAGTCTTTTAAAGAGCAGTTCCGATGCAGAGGCTGGGACAAGAGGGTTATAATTTCAAGGGCTTTCAGTGTTGCAAAGTTAGCTCAAGGGCAACCTGGGCAACTTAGTGAGACCCTCGCTCAAAATGAAATTTAAAATGTGTGTGAGAGTGTGTGTGTATGTACTTGCTTCTCTCATCCCACCTTTTCATGAGTTCGGGGAATCGAACTCATGCCATTAGAGTTTATATGGAAAGCATCTTTACCTGCTAAGCCATCTTGCTGTCCCCTAGACTTTCAAATTTTAATTATGACTTTTCTAGATTAGATTTAGTCGAGCAATAATGATCCAGGTGCTCACTATAGCCTTTAAACTAGCTAGGATTTTGTTTTGTTTTTCGAGACAGGGTTTCTCTGTGTAGCTTTGGGGTCTGTCCTGGAACTCGCTTTGTCGCCAGACTGGCCTCGAACTCGCAGAGATCCGCCTGCTTCTGTCTCCCAATCTGCCTCCCAAGTGTTGGGATTAAAGGCGTGCGCCACCACCGCCCGGCCAAACTAGTTAGGATTTTTACTTTTATGTTTGAAATACTTAAGTGGGTGATTATACCAAGGAGAGTTGATAGCACATTTGCTAGGGTTCCTGGTAGTGACTACCTGGCATGAAATCCACCCATGGCATATGGTCAGTACCTTGCCAACAAGAAAACTGAGGACCACTGGGTGGCGCAGGGATACCTAAAGGTGCTTGCCTGTAGGAGGGAATGTACGCTGTGAGAGTCCAGGGCTCAGTGATACACTTCCCAAACGCCCGGAAGGCCCCTGTGAAGAAACGGCGCGCAAGGATCAACAGCCTGCGGGAGTTGGGGCTGTTGCCCGCGGCCGCCGAGATGCGGCAAGCGACTGGGTGGACGCCACGTGGGGCTACTAGGAGGTGGTTCCGGGAGCGCTCGTCCCGGATAATTGCCTTTCTCCATCTGCACACACGCAGGCCAAGCTGGACCTCCCGGAGGTGCTGGAGCTGATGGCGTGCGCGGTGAGTAGCCGCTCCGTGTACCCGCAGGGGAGCAGGCCACTGGAGCCTGCTAGTGGGCTTGAGTACATTTGCTCAGCCAGCCCAAGCAGGGCTGGCCTCGTCTGTCCGGGCGTTGAACGCAGCGAACCCTAGGTCCTGCTGAGCGGGCGGTAGCAATAGCTGCTCACGGTGCAAGAACATTGCTTTGGACCCCCTGTTTTCGGGCCAGAGCAGAAACGCCTACAGGCAGAATCCAGGGAACTCCTTGCCGCCTGTTTACACACACAGATGTAAGTTCCACACACCAGGCGATCAAACCTCCTTCGCTGCCAAATTCTGGAACCACCTATTCTGGCTCTGCCACTATGTAAAGTCAGCAGCTTTTAGGGTCTGCTGGGAAACACCCTGGCTGGACTGGCTGGAGCCCCTGGTCTGAGGGGCTGGCCTGTGGAAGGGGCTCCTGTAATCCCATTTGCCCAGCCCCCAAGGTCCAGGGGACAAACCATCTCCAACCCGAAAAAAGCCCAACAGTTTAACTGAGTCAGGAGCCCTTTGAGGCTGGGTTTGAAGCTTGTGGCTCTGGGCAGCTCAACCACTGGCCTAATCCAATGTCTGGAGGCCCCGATGACCAACATCAGCCTAAGGCCTTCAGGAGTGTGCATGCTTTCCCAAATTTTAATTCCCTATGCCTAAAGTTCAGATGTGGCTAGGTGCAGGATGCCGTTGTACCCCCTTCCTCACCAGCAGTAAATTGGCTTGTAAGACAGCCTCTGATGACTGGCCTAGTCTTCATTCCTGTTTCTGAGGCACCCCTCGTGTGCCTGTGTATTGGTGTGCAGACCCCTTTTAGTTGTATTTAATTAGTATACAAAGTAATGGATTTTATTATGGGGTTTTCATACATAGTTTTTGCTGATTCTCTCCCCTGCCCCCGGCTCTCCAATTCCTTGCCCCCTCCCACTGTCCCCCACCCCTCTCCTGCTTTCATGTTACATGTATTTTGTAACCCTCTTTCTCTTTCTTCTACCCACTCCATGACCCTCCCTTAAGACCTCTTTTTTCTGCTCTTATGATCCGTTTTCTACTTTCATGACAGACAGACAGAAACACACAACACACACACCCTGAAGTAATACATTTATGGACCCTACAGCACTGAGGCAGATGGATAAGAGAATCTTGTAGAGTTATCAAAGCTTCCCACACTTGAGCAGACAAGATGGCTCAGCAGGTAAGGGTGCTTGTTGCCAAAGCCCAAGGCTTGAATTCCATCCCTGAGAAGATGGAAAGAAAAAAACAACTCCCACAAATTGTTCTCTGACCCCCATCATGTGCCCTTGACACACAAATAAACACATATAATTACAATTTTTTAAATAAGAGCTTTCTGCCTTCACCTGTGCCAGCGTTAAGTGCCAGGCACTGTGTGGTATCTGGAGACAGATACAGGAGTCACACTGATCCTCCACTGAACTAGGTACCAGTATCCTCGTGGGTAGGGTCAGTCAGGTCTTGGTAGTCCTGACCTGAACAGAAGCTTGAATTTGTCACTTCCGATGGATGACTAGAGCGGGCATGTTTATTCCTCAGCATTGCTTCGTTGGCAGAAAAGAGAAAGGCTCTCCATACAACTTGTTTGCCACACACTTGAGTTTGTGTTTTCAGCCAGTTGCTGCCAAACATTCCAACTGCATTAAGTGAAGAATTTCAGATTTAAGTTGAAGAAAAAGAAAAGATGGGCATGGTGGCACACACCTATAATCCCAACTTTCAGGATACCGAGCCGGGAAGATTGGGCTTTGGAAGCCAGCCTGGGGTACATAGTAAGTTTAAATCAGCAAGAACCATAGCAAGAAAGAGGAAGGGGACGAGAGGAAAGGTGGCATGTGTAAAATTTGAGAACATGAGCTTAGACTAGCCCAGGTATTGTGTTATCCTGCTTTGGATGGACATGGCTAATTATATAGTCCTCTTTTTGGTGAGCTTTTTTGTTGTTGCTTTTATTTTGTTTTTTGAGACAGGGTCTCTCTGTGTAGCCTTGGCTGTCCTGGAACTGACTAGGTAAACCAGGTTGGCCTTGAACTCACAGAGATCCTCCTGCCTCTGCCTCCCCAAGTGCTGGGATAAATGGCATAAGCCACCACTGCCAGGCTTTTGGGTGAGCTTTTGCTTGACCTTAGGCTCTTTGCCAAGTGGAGCGGCCATCAATTAGAACTCCAGATACAAGACAATGCCAACACTGTCTCTGGGTGTCATCCTTTGTTCTTGCAGAGTTAGAAAGAGATAGAAGTAAAACAGCCAGGGGGAAGGTAATGTTATTTCTCACGCCTCCTCTTGTTCTTCACTCTGAGCTCCCAACCCAGGATCCCCAGTCTTTGAAAGGAAAATGAATAAAACTTCTGGGGCTACCTTAGTTTGAAAAGTCTTGCTTGCTTCTACAGAATACAAGGTAAATTTAGAGATCCATGATGTTGTTTAGTCAGAATTTTTAAGCCTACTATAGAAAAAAATTAAATAGACGTAAGTGAAAGAAAACACTTTAAATGGATTTTTTCATTTAGTGAAAATGACAACATTCTGTACCAAAACTTTCCAATTTTTATGTAAATATAATATCACAGATCTCCTTGACTCTGATGTATTATTTGTGGTATAGTGTAAGAAATATATATTAAATTTATATTTGAAATATTAAAATATCAGAGTTATTTTATAGTGGAGGAAATATTACATATATAAATGTATTTCAGTGATGCAAGAGTGAATAATTCTACATTTCTACAGCTATGAAATGCAACCTAGGCTACAGTCACAACTAACTGCAGTATATATAATTGGTAACTTTTTATTTCTTTTTAATAAGTTTTGCTAGTCTTTATTTTGATTGTGTATAGATGTGTCTACACATGTGTATGTGCTTGTGAATGCAGGTGCCCGTGGAGGTCAGAGGCACCTGATCATCCTGGAACTGGAGTGAATAGGCAGTTGTGAGCTGCACAACATGAGTGCTGGGGACTGAACTCAGATTCTCTGCAAAAGCAGTACGTGCTCTTAACCACAAAGCCATTTCTCCAGTCCTGAACATTTTCAATTTATTATTATTGTGTGTGTATGATTGTGTGTGAACTCAAGTGCGCCATAGAGTGTATGTGGAGGTCAGAGGACAACTTGTTTGGTTCTCTCCTTCCACCTTTATGTGGTTTTTGAGGATCAAGCTCAAGTCATCAGGTTTACAAGGTAAGCACCTTGACCCACTGTGGTGGGCTGAATGAGAATGGCTCCCATAGGCTCATATGGTCCCCAGGTGGAGCAGCTGTTTGGGAGGTGTGGTCTTGTTGGAGAAGGTGTGTCATTGTAACTTTAAAGTTACAAAAGCCCAAGCCATCCAGGGTTAGTTCTCTTTCTGCCTCCTGCTTTCGGGTAAGGATGTAAGTGCTCAGCTACTGTTCCAGTGCCATGCCTGTCTGTCATGATGGTCATGGACTCACCCTCTGAAACTGTAAGCCCCAATAACCTCTTTCTTTTATAAGCTTCCCTGGTTATGGTGTTTTGTTACAGCAATAGAATAACTAAGACACCTACTAGGCCATCTTGTGAGTCCTATTTTTTTTATTTCTTAAAGGTAAATGAACATGGTAAATTAATAGGTGCTATCATATTGCATTTTGTACAATAGGTATTTATAAAAATGTATACCCATACACAAACACGTATGGTTCTGTAGAACACTTTTAGTTCAGATGTTGTGCTATCTCCAGTATTTCTCTTTTGAATGACTCTGGATTGCTTTGAGTACTCAAAAGTCTGTTATGCTTTCACATATATTTTAGATACTGATATTCTATTTCTGTGAAGAATGTCATTAAAATTTTGGGGGTTATTGTATTTGAATCTGTAGAACACTTTTGGTAATATAGTCATTTCCACAATATATAGCAATGTTAATTCTGCCTATTTTTTTCCTTCAGTGTTATAAAGTTTTTTATTGTAGAGGTCTTTCAGAAATCTCCTTGGTTATATTATTCCTAGGTCATTTTTTGAGGCTAGTGGACATTGAAGCAAGGACTTGGACACAAACCTGACTTCAGAGACCATACTCCTTCCATAATATTCATTCTGTCATTCATAAAGGGAGATTGGAACCCAGACTCTTGCTCAGTATACACTTCCCATACCTTCTGCAACCATCTAAAACTATGTTATAATAACAATTTTACTTCCAATTTTAAAATTTTTGTTTCGATAAATTACAAAAATAGTACATATAATTATCATATGTATTTCCCCTAGATTTTCCAAATTGTAGCATCTTTCATAACCACAGAAAAATTATCTGATACAGACCATCAGCATTGACATAAACATCTTTGAGAACCCTAGGGTTATTTTATTTTATTTAATCAATAATTAGATTGAATAAGTGATGTTTTAAAAGTAGTTTTGTCACCAGGCACCAGGTAAAACTTCTCTTACCAGCTAATTATGTGACTTTTGGCCATTACTTAACCTTCTTGAAATTCTACTTTCTATCCGATTAAGTAGAAATCTTAAAAACCACTGTAAAATTTAAGTTAGATAATATATAGGAATCACTGACCCATGGTAAGGAATGTGTAAATACTAAAAGTATTGTTGTTCTAACAGTCAACTGTAGTTGATGGCATGGAGAATGAGATTCCTGTCCTACCCACATGAAGAGACCCATTACTATATATTAAAGGTCACTTTTATACCTTTTTTGTGTACAATGTAAGAAATGATAGTGCATTCAGGCTCCAGTGTAAGGGTCCCACAGCAAAGTTCGGACTCTCATTTGCCTGGCTCTGAATATCTGTTTGTTCCTGAGATGTCCGTGTCCACACTTCATTTCAGCCTGGGAAAAGGAAGACTCATTTCTAATGTGACTAGCTGCCTGCATGGGCTAGATGGGTTCCTCATGGGAAGAGAATTACTTCTAAGGGCATAAATAGACCCTTCGGGGCCATTAATTTATAGTCTGTTGCAATTTTCAAAGAGAGTAGAAAGAAAGGGAGGTACATTCAGATTTTGAATTTTTCCTATAAAACCAAAAATATTTTTTGTATTCAAGATTAAAATTTCATTAAGAACTAGAATCATACCTCACCTTAAAATGGTGATATTATGAAACAGTTTACAACTTTGGTTCCTTTGTTATCACTCTGATTTTTAAAATTTTTCCATGCACTGTAAATTGAAAAACAAATCCAGTGAAGATAGTGTGAAATGCTGAAACATAAAGAAAATATGAATTCTAATCTTGCAATTGTTGGCAAAGGGCCACACACGCATAGGAAAGTTCATCACCATATTGGATATAATTTTGAAAGAAGCGATACTGACTGCAATAGGTTTGTGTTAGTTTGATCACTGACAGTCATCACTTAAGTTGCCTGGTCACGGATATTGCTGCTGTTTACCGGTTATTTGGTCTTTTGCTCAATGTCCTTGGTAGGGGGATGCCTTTGACTAAGATAATCTTGCTTTGTGTTTCACACCGTGTCTAATTATCCTGTCTGTTTAGTTTAAAATGTCTCTATCACTGCAATTGCTTCCACCAGCCCTTGGCATACTATCACTCACTATGTGATCATTCACCCCTAGTCAGTGAGGCAGTGGCTCCCTGCTGATTTCATTTGGCTGACTGTACTTTTAGACTTCTAAGAAGTTTCGAAAGTAGAAGAACCACAGACTAAGTTCCATCTTGTTTGGCTTAGACTGATATTCATTCTGAAATGGATTTGCTTAGTCTTCAGTATTTCTTGTATTTATTTTTATTATTTTATTATTATTATTCTTGTATTATTATTTATTCTTGTATTTGCAGTACTGTGGATTGAACCTAAGTCATCACACATTCTTCTCAGGTGTTCTGCTGCTTAGCGATTTCCCTCTCTTCACTTTGTATTTTGAGATAGGGTCTCATAAGGTGTTCAGACTGACCTTCAACACACTGTGAGCTCAGATAGACCTTGACTTTCTGATCTCCTTGCCTTAGCTTCTTGAATAAAGGGGATTACAGACCTATTGCATGAAGCCTTAGCATGTGTCCTTTTCAATTTTAACACACAGTTAGATGGGTACCTGGAGTTAGGACCTAACTTATAGGCAACTAAAATCTATTTGCTCTTAAACGCCACAATGAACCAAAAGTTGTCTCCCAACAAATATTAAACTAACTGGATAATCTAATATGCTAATACAGCCAGTCTTTGATTTCGTTCATCCATCTCTATTAAATATACATCTCTGCATTAAAGATAGATCTGGTTCACATGAACCTAAAGTTAGGAATTCTCAAATTAAAAGTTACATGTAACATGAGCTAAATTTTTTTTGGTAATTAAATATATGTTTCTGAAGGACTTGTCCCAATACGAATCAGAAATTTTTCTTATCATGTGTCATTTGGAGTTGTTCATCCTGTTATTTCTCCTTTCATTACTTCAAGATAATCAATTGCTAAATGTATAAGGGTAACATAGAAGGTACATGTTAGCATGACTAAACCATTCATTCCTTTATTGGAAGTCTGCTTAAGCTGATTCCAGAATAACTGAATGAATGGCATAGATTCTTGCTAAAATAAATAAATGTGTCATTAACCATGAGGACTGTTACAACTCATTTGGGATGATAGAGGCAAATCATAGTCTTTAGCACTGCTCTCTGCAATCTGGGAGAGTCATTTAATTCTGGAAGCTTGAATTTTTCTTTTTCTTACCTTTCTGCAGAATTGAGCTCTAGGCCCTAAGCAAGATCAAAGAGGGAAAGCAGCTAACAGTATCTTATATCAGCTTCTTCAGAGTCGATAGACTGGAGGAAAAGTGACTGGAAAAACTGTACTCATGACCACACATGTGAACTCTCAGGAAAGATACCAAAGGACAAACTCTTCTTGAGGTAAAAAAGCAACTTAAAGGTATGTGTATTTTTTCTGCCTGGGTTTTTGTAGCCATCTGTTCCAGAACTAAGAAAAGCATTTATTTTGCAGTTAATAGTAGTTCATTTCTAAAAGTGTCTAAAAGTTCATTCTATAAGTGTCTCTTACTTCTTGGGATAATACTATATAATGACGGACAGAGCACAGGATTTTGCTCTGAAAAGACCTTATCTGTAAACCTGACTTTTCCATGTACTATATATTTGAGTTTAAAGTTACTTAACTTTATCATATGCAGACTAGCAATTAAATATTTATTAGGTAAGATTATTATGAGACTTGAAAAAGATAATATAGGTGAAGGTATTATTATGTAGTAGAGAAACAACAAACATGCCTTATCTCAGTCCATTATATATTAAAATAATATCATTTGTATTTTTGTGATGAAAACTGGGCATGTGGACTTCTTTTGTTATTCTGTGTCTAATATTGACAAAGCAGGCTGGGACAGAGCAAAAGATTGTGGGCCTGGTTGGGACTAAAGGGTTGATATGATTTGGGTGGGATGAAGTCAGGTGGACATAATGGGCTTTGCTGGCACACAAGATGTGCATCCTGGCTGAAGCCTCGAGGTTGGGGACACTTCAGGCAGAGCTGACCAGAGTAGGTGGGGCACTGGGTGTGGGACACAGGCACTAGATCTGGGGATTAGGGAGGGTGCCTGGATGGGAGGATCAGGTGGACTCACCAGGCTGGGCCCTAGTACAAGATGTGCAGGATCTGACTTGGCAGAGAGGCTGGATGCGGCATAGTGTGGATGAAGTGCCAGGAGGTACTGGGGCTCCTGTACTGGCCACAGGGTATGTACTGGGGCTAAGACATTCGTCTTTGAAGTTATTTTGTCAGGTTTTGCCACAGCAATGTTAAAGGTTACTAAAATAAGGTTTTAACACATACTACCATATGCACTTGTATATACATAGCACGTACACTTCTAAAAGTAGCCATAAGAAACTGGTTCTAGTTGTTTCATGTAGACACCAGAAGAGGGCATCACATCTCCTGGAATTGGAGTTACAAACGGTTATGAGCCACCAAATGGATGCTGAGAATCAAACCCAGGTCCTCTAGAAGAGCAACCAGTGCTCTTAAATGCTGAGCCATCTCTTCAGCCCCTAGTTTTAATTTTTTGAGGAAGCTCCAAACTGATTTCAATAATATTAATTGTGCTCCCACCAGAGAGAATAATGGTTCCTCTTTCCCCACATTTTCTACATTTATTGTCAGTGTCCTTGAAAATAGCCATTCTGACTGGGAGAGGTGGTAAATATCCTACCATAGAAGTATTTTCACATTCACATTTATTGCTATTCTACATACCATAGCAAGGAAATAGAACCAACCTAGATGTCCATTAATAAATGAATGGGTAATGAAAATGTGGTACATTTACAAAATGGAACATTATTCAGCTGTAAAGAAAAAGGAAATCATGAAAATTTCAGCAAAGTATATTAAGTGACATACCAAATTCAAGAAAAACTGCATGTTCTCCTTCATATGTGGATCCTAGCTTATAGTGTCTCTGTGTGTGTGTATGTTGTAAGCGCATACAGAACATAACATTTAAAAAAGAAACCAAGACAGGGTAATATTAGGTGATGAGGAAGGATGGAATGTAGGCAAAAGAACACATGAGTCATGGATGAGGATATAATGCTTTTTTTTTCTAGTTTCAACGCTGTCATAGTTTTTTTTTTCTTTTCTGTGGAGGATATGTCCAAAAATGTAATCGATAGTTGAAATATAAAACCTGAAGGGAAGTTCCATGACTTCAGAATGGCCATTTTAACTGTACAGAAGTTCATTAAGATGGACAGAGTTTGAGACTAGGCAAATATTTATTTGAGTGGCTACCTTAATTGAGCTGTGTAATGTTTTTATTTGTGAGTTCATTACAATAAAGTGATTTTAGTTAATAACAAAATAATTTTAAGATTTCAAAATCCTGCCAGTCAGTGGTAGCACATGCCTTTAATCCCAACACTTGGAAGGCAGAGGCAGGCAGATCTCTGTGAGTTCAAGGCTAGCCTGGTTTACAGAGTGAGATCTAGGACAGCCAGTGCTACACATCACAGTGAAACCCTGTCTCAAAACACCAAAAAAAAAAAGATTTCAAAATCACTGGAGATTAGTAATCATAAAGATGGGTAATTTATGAGACCTAATACTTGAATAACACAGAAATGATGTACTAAAAATGAAGATAAGCAAATGTGTAGAATATATCCGGGGTAACAACCACAACATTCTGCATTATCCACTTACAGAGATACAAGAACCTCTTGTGGCAACTGGTCTCAATACAGACACAGCATGAGAAAAGCAGAAATACCTTCCAAAATAACTTGACTATAAATTAGCAGAAGGCTCAATAGAATTTCAATGCGTAAAGTTATTTTTCTCTTCTTTAAACTCTGTTCTGGCTTGGATGTAAAATATCCCCAGAGTGCCATGTATTTGAACACTTGATCCTCTGCTGGTAGTACTCTATGTATAGGTTGAGGAATCTTTAGGAGTTGGGGGTTAGCTGGAGTAGGTACATCACTGGGAAGCAGCCTTGAGGATTATACCCCAACCTTGCTCCCAGTCCCATATTTACTTCTCAGAACTATATAACAAACAGATGCTATATACTCTTGCCATCTAGGGTAGATCCCAAGGCATTGTGCCTTCCCTGCTCTGATGGGCTATATACTCTCAAATCTTCTGAGCCCAATTAAATCCTTCCTCCCTTAAGTTGCTTCTGTCAACTATTCTGGTACAGTGAGAACAAGAGTAAATAATGTAGAAAATTGGTACTGTGAGTGGGGTCACTGCTATGATAAGCCTGGCCATGTGATTCACTGCCTTCAGAACTTGTTAGTGAGAAGCATGTGGAAGAATTTGGAGCTATGGACTAGAGAAGCCCTAAAATATAGTCAGCAGAATTTAAGGGACCATTCTGGTAGGAGTTCAGAAAGCCAAAACCCAAATATGACAGTGGAAGTGAAGGCCTGGCACCTGAGGTTTCAGAAGGGAATAGGGACTTTATTGGTAATTGGGCTCCATGTCACTCGTCTTACATTCTGGCAAAGAATCTGGGTATATTGTCTTCATGTCCTGAAAATTTGAGTGAGGCTAAATTCAAAGATACTACACCAATTTATTTGGAGGAGGAAATTCTAAGACTGCATAACATTAAGTTTATGGCATGATCACTTTTCTGTACTTTTAGCCAGGTTCACCATGGGAATGGAGAGAAAACAGCAGAGCAGAAAGATGTAAAAATGTACCATTTGGTAAGGAAAGGAACCTATTTAAAATAGTAGACATATCATGTGTAGACAGTAACTATAATTGTTAAAGTGTTTGGTATCATTAAAAAGCAACCACAAAATTTGCACTGAAACAGTGAGTGTGGTGCCTGACGGGTAAGACCCAAAGTTCCAAGGTATAATACAAACTCATTTTGAACACCTTGATTTAAAACTAGAGTGCTGGAACTGGAGAGATGTCTCAGTAGCTAAGATCACATACTGTTCTTGCAAAGGACCTGAGTTCAGTTCCCAGTACTTAAGTTGGGTGGCTCACACCTGCTATAACTCCACTTCCAGTTCCCATGCCCTCTTCTGATCTCCATGGGCAACCACATGCACATGCACATGTCTGCACCCCATGCCTCCCTGCATACAAATTAAAAATCAATAAAATAAATAAAAGTAGAATATTTGAAAAGAGAAGATCCCCCACCCCAGAATACCTTGCTCAAACAGGGAAATATTTTCCCAATCAAGCACTTGGAGGCCACTAGAGCCATTGTGTACCAGGGCCAGGCCACATTTCAAGCTGGAAGCAAAACTTGTTAGTGTCATCCATGTGGTGCTAGTTTAACAAGCATACTAAATGCAATAGTTATGTGATTATGAAGACTTGACTGAAACTTCGGAGGGAAAAGCCTTTGAGGCTAGATGATGTTTAACAGTCATATGCTCTGAAGAGAGGCCCTGATAGGCTGGTGTGTACAGCTGTTAGTGAACCCTAAGGCTGTAATATAGGCACTAGGATAAAGGAGATGCCAGAAATGTTGAACATCTGCTGAGGGAAGTTGAAAACATTGAGTAGAGTTACCCCAAGAGAGAGAATGTGTATGTTGCAGGAAGCAAGGCTGGAGAGCCAAGGTTACCTAAGCCTGCCTATCACAACCTACATTATGCTATCATGAGCTCTAATGTTGAACATGGAGCTGTAAAGATTGATTATCCTGGGGGGTTCTGGTCTTGTTTATCTCTGCTCTTACCTTGCTCTTCTTCCATTCCTTACTTTTGAAATGAGAATGTTTATTCTGTGCCATTGTATATTGGAAGTATGTAACTTGGATCTTTTATTTTCTTTAAATTATTTTTATTTTATGTGTATAGGCGTTTGCCTGCATGTAAATGCACCAGGTGCATGCACTGCCCACAGAGGCCAGAAGAGGGTGTTATATCCACCACTACTGGAGTTACAGATGGTTGTGAGCTGCCATATAGGTGCCAGGAACTGAACCTAGGTCCTCTGCAAAAGCAGCAAGTGTTCTTAAACACTGAGCCATATCTCCAGCCCCTGGATTTTTTTAAACTAGGTCTTAAGGATAAGAGTTTGCCTGAAACTTTGGATTTTAAAGATTTGGGTCTCCTTATACTGGTGTTGAGAATATTAAGACTACAGGTATTTTTGAAGTTGGACTAAATACATATGTCATTATGAGATGGCCATGAGCCTATGGAGGCATACTACAGTTTGAATATAAGGCTCCTGTGTTTGAACACTTGGTCCCCAGCTGGTGGTGCTGTTTGGGGAGGTTTCAAAACTCTGAGAAGGTGGAGCTGAGCCGAGGAAGTCCAAGTCCATCACTGGAGGCAGGTCTTGAGGGTTATAGCCTGGACCTGCTTCCAGTTCCATCTCTGCTTCCTGGCCCAAGTTATGCATCATCAAGCTGCAATGCACACTCGCTGCCATGGATGGAGTCCCCGCTGCCATGGATGGAACTCCCGCTGCCATGGAAGGAGACCCCGCTGCCATGCCTTCCCTCCCAAGATCAACTGTACCTCCTCAAACTGTAAGCCAAACTAAAACCTTTCCTCCCTTGAGTGTTTCTAGCAGGTATTCTCTCACAGTGAAAAGAAAATTAATATGAATGCTAACCAGTTTCTAATATTTGATCATCAACATTTATGATTTAGAAGAATGATCTGATTCTCTAGCACTGGCAGAAAGTAGAAAGCTTTTAATTATTTGATCCCCATTATTTTGGTAGATAGCTTAAGAACAATCCCAATTCTGCTAGTGCCCTGTAGCTAAGACCAGACAGGGAGATAAGGTATTCTGAGACTTTCCAGCTCGGTAGGTGATTTTGCAGATGCATTTCAGACAGCTTCCATAAATTCTCCTTGCGTCTAAAGCCCTGTGGTTGGTGATAACAGAGCTACTGTAATGCTTCTATTTATAAAAAAAAAAAAAAAAAAAAAAAAAAAAAAAAAAAAAAAAAAAAAAAACACTATTTTCCCTCCCAAGAGCCTGTCTTTGTGAAGTCTAATTACCCGAGATCACTAAATCTAACATTTGGAATGTAAATGACTCTTTATAAGGGTGTGGACTTATAAGATGTAAATTTCCAAGAAAAGTCTTCCTACCACCTTGAGAGCTTAACCAAGGGATTGTCTCAAACTATAATCATTTGCTTAAAGAGGAGCTGAGAAGCTCTATTATTCTTTTTGTGAATCTTATGGACTAAAACAACTACCTCAGTTTGCAGATGAATTTAGGATGAGCTGAAATGAAAAAAGAAACATTAAAATTGTGCTGAAGGACATGTTAAAAATTGTTGTATAACCTGTGCCAAATGTCCTACTTTATATTAGATAAAAATTATAGGAGGCCATTGTTTGGGATTCTAAGCTTCTGCAGGAAGCCCCAACAGAGCATAATAAATATTGAAATATTGTTACTCATACCGAAGCAAGTTATCTGACCTTCCAAAAATGATAGGCAATAATGTAATTTCTCAGACAGGCCAGTTATAGTAGGCATGAAAACAAAATCCTCCCTGTTTCCAATCTTTATCCCAAAAAGCAACCTGAAGTAACCTAAAGTTAACCAATCAGTGTGTTTTCTTTTGTTCTCTCTATATATCTTCTGCCAAAGGAACCCTGAAAGAACTAATCCGGTTTGTTATTTGTGTATGCTTTTTTCAGCTTCTCTTCGTTTATCAATCTTCTGCTCACTTCACTGGAACATGTCTTTCTGTTTCATGAAATGAAATGCTGCTGAGTCAAGCACCACAAAGTCACTTAGAGATCTTTGAGATAAATTTGTTGTATTTTGCCTTTTGACATGACATCAGTCTCGTTCAGATTGCCTATGTGCACATAACTTGAGTATGCTAATTAAATAATCAAACATAATTATTTTCTATGCTTTATAGAGTATCCTGTGTTGGTAGCATTTTTACTTCCTGAATATGATGGCTACCAGCAGATATAAAACAGGGTGAAAAATGTTAGAAGTCAAAAGTCCAGGCAATGTATATAATACCTACTTATCTAGACTTGAAAGCAGCTAGAAGTCTGAATTCACAAACAAATCAAATCCCAGGTAAAACTCCCAACTAGAAACCATGCCTGCAGGCAGAAGACATAGAATTGTAAGGTATGTGGAATGGAGCGACCCTGGCACCAAGCACAGATAGCTATGTCAAGGACATTCAGGGGAGAATAAACACTGAAAAACAAGGAAAAGAGGGTAGTCAGATGTTCAAGTACAGTCAGCATTTCTTCCAGGGCCAAAGTGGATGAGGTAAAGCAAAATGCAAATACATTGTTTCCTATATTGAAAGAAGAGTATGTACAAAGTTGTGCTGGCCAGAGGATGCATGTGTATACTGTGACCAATCATAGGGCTGGCCAGGAGCACCAGAAAGAACAGAAGGGAAAGTGGACATTTCTACCAACATGACAGTTTTTCTAGTCCATTAAAACTAATTCCAGCCAGGCGGTGGTGGTGCACGCCTTTAATCCCAGCACTCGGGAGGCAGAGCCAGGCGGATCTCTGTGAGTTCGAGGCCAGCCTGGGCTACCAAGCGAGTCCCAGGAAAGGCGCAAAGCTACACAGAGAAACCCTGTCTCGAAAAACCAAAAAAAAAAAAAAAAAAAAAAAAAAAAAAAAAAAAAAAAAAAAAAACTAATTCCAACTCTCCATTTACTTTTTGGTAACTTTAAGATGAGTAATTTCACCAAGCAACATCTGCCACAAACCTGAAAAGAACTCTAGCTTACTTAGTTCTACTTTTAAAACATTAACATAAGCAGGGATCTGGTTAAAATATGCTAACTGCATATGGTGAAAAAACTGATGCTGCTATTTTTTTTTTTTTTTTGAGTTTTGAGACAGGGTTTCTCTGTGTAGCTGTGGAGCCTGTCCTGGAACTCGCTCTGCTAGACTAGGCTGGCCTCGAACTCACAGAGATTCACCTGCATCTGCCTCCCGGGTGCTGGGATTAAAGGTGTGTGCCCCCACTGCCCAGCTGATGTAGCTATTTTAAAAGGATAAATTCAAATTTTCACACAGAAAAAATATTTATTTTATGTAATTTTAAAAATTTAACTAGTACATACAGGTAAGCCTACATCATCATATGTCCCGTGTGTCTGTTCTGATGATTTTCTGTCTTACACCAGTTATTAAATATTTTCAATGTTTTCTTTCTATATATGCAGAAAATGTTCACCGAAGATCTAGCTGTGATATCTCTCACTCCTGTGTGCTCTAGAAATCTACTTTATTGTCCTTTAAACAAAAAACAATAACACTAAAAAGAAAAAATAAGAGCTAATCCATGTTGCCCATTTCCCTCAGGGTGTAAGCAAGTGATTCTCAAATCTCACAGTGAACTAGAACCGTCCAAGTCCTTTAGAGCTAGAGAAATTTTCTTTTAATTGAGTGTGGTAGGTATGGACACAAATATATCTTATACATATTCCAGGTGAGTCTAATATGCACTCAGAATTGAGAATCTGCCAGGAACACAGACGAGAAAACTAGACTACTTGAACTTGAACTTGAATCTTGGCTCTGTCATTTATTCCTCATATAGGCAAAATACTTAAGATTCTCTGTACTTCAGTTTTCTCACCTGACAAAAGCCCATGAATGTTAGTAGCAACTGTCTCTTACAGTTTTGTGAGATTGACCCTATGTACCCCATGTACACATAAAATGTAAGATGAAGTTTCTTCTGCCCTCTGGTAAGTATTGTCACCCAGGATCTGGTAGCAGCTCCTCATTTAGCATCTGTAATAGAGTGCTGCCAAATTTATGTCCTATTTAATAATATATTATTTACAAAAATTATTTTGAAACATCTTCCCTCAAAAATGCAGCCTTTGAACATATGAGATCTACTCCCTGAAAACAGGAACTTTTAGCTAACTGAACTTTAAAACATTGTTCTAGACAATGACAACCTACTTAAGCTGAAACCTTTTCTGGTACCATATAGAATAGCATCTTGGGGCAGGAGGAAGTTCTGAATTTTTCAGTGAGCCTCATTCATTCTATTATCTGTCCTCCATCCATGTGGTAATCTGGCATAATTTCTGAAAGGTTAGATGATGTATGGTAGAATGGGGAGACTGAATTAACAAGAAGGTAGTGTTACATTTGGGTGTTGTATAGCTAGATGCGTAAGTGGGAAGTAGCCCTCTTATAGCAAGGAAGAACGATGACAAAAGGTTAAGGAACAAAAAGGCAAGTTCAAAAGAAATCTAATATCTAAAAACATGTAATGAAATTCTATTTCATTTAGGAACTTATTTCTTCACCAATAAAATAAAAATTAAAATGTACACAGGTAAAACATTAAAAGAAATGTTAAAATATACATATATTAAGGGGTATTGTTCCTGGCACTTACATTCTCAAATTCTCAGCACATGTTCTTTGCATATCATTATTCCTCCCAGCCACTCAGAAGAATGAAGATTAGAAGAGATTGGGGGAAATTTAATGCATTTTGTCTAATCCAATGCCCTATCTCTTGTGCCATAATATGAATAGACGCTATATAGATTCTCTGCTTCTACTTAAAATGGGCAGCCCAGGAATTTGATTGGTTAGCTCTGCCACGTGGTAAGTGATTGACATATTGGCATTTTTGCAAGACCATTTAGGTAATCTCTAAAGATAATGGGGCTTTTTCTATTGCTTTCATCTGTAAGCCCTCATCAGACTTGTTCTTGTTGTGTTCACAGCAAAGCAGGTTTTTGTTTTTTTGTTTTTTGCCTGTTTTGGGTTGTATTGGGTGTTTTGTTTTGTTTTGAGACAGGGCCTCACTATTTGCTCTAGCTGTCCTGGAATGCACTGTGTAGACCAGGCTGGCCTCAAACTCACAGGAGATCTGCCTGCCTCTTCCTCCTGAGTGCTGGGATTAAAGGTGTGTACCTCCATGCCAGCTGCCAAGTAGGTTTTGTTTCGGAGGATTTGTTGTTGTTGTTTTTAAACCACATCATACTGCTTCAAATGATTCGATCTTATACCCATGGCCCAGTATCCAAGCCACTTTCACATTTTATTTATTCTGTGTATGAATTTGTGTCTTGATCTGTTTGAATGAATACCACAGCCTCAATAATTAATAAACAAGGAAACGTAATGCCTACAGCCCTAGGAATTCTGAGATGGAGGTGCCAGTAGGTTTGGGGCTTAATGAAGGCTCATCTGTCACAGAATCCCCCTCCCAGCTGTCTTCACATGGCAGAAGGGCAAAGGGGGGCGGGGAGAAGAAGCTCTATCAAGCCTCTTTTATAAGGATGCTAATGTCATCTGGTCGCTTGCAAGAAGTCCCACCTTTTAATACCAATGAGAAGTCAGTTTTAGCATATGAATTTGGAAGGACACAAAGTTTCAGACCAAAGCCAATGGTGAAGAATTTGTGACATAAGTTTTGTCATCATGCTGCCTTTTTTTTTTATCTTGGTAACATACACCCTTTTATTTCACTAACTTCTCGTAACAAATACACAAGCAAGTAATATTACCTTTAAATTGTTTCATCACTATCAT